CTCTCTTGACCCTTTCTTTTTTTAAAATTTTATTTATTATTTTTATTTTATGTGTATACATGTATTGCCTGCATGTAGGTAAGTGCCCCCGTGTCGTGCAATGCCCGCGGAGGTCAGAAGAGGCTGTCGGATCCTCTGGGACTGGAGTTATGGACAGTTGTTAGCTGCCATGTGGTTGCTGGGATTCGAATCTGGGTCTTCTGCAAGAACAACCAGTGTTCTTAACTGCTGAGCCATCTCTCCATCCCCTGTCCTTTTCTTTAAGCTGGTCCATGTCTATCATAGCTGCCCTCAGTCACCCGCCCATGCTGAGCATAGCTCTATAGACTGAACCTTTGCTGAAGGCTGCATCCTCAGGAATGATTGAAAAATAAACTAGGGGGGGGCGGGGAGCTGGAGAGATGGCTTAGCTATTAAGAGTGTTGGCTGCTCTTGCAGAGAACCAGGGCTCAGTCCCCAGCACCCACATGGAGGATAAAAACCATTTGTGATTCCAATTCCAGGGGATCCAACACCTCTGCTGGCCTCTTGTGGGCATTGCATGCATGGGTGCACTTGCATGCAGACAAAACACTCATTTACATAAAATAAAAATAAGTGAAAAAATTTTAAAAGTAAATTGCTGCTGTTCCTCACATGGAATTTTTTCACCAGTAAACCATCCTTCAAATTTAGTTGCTTAAAATAAGAGCACCCACATCATTTAGTTTCAGTGTCCAGGACTCTGGGGTGATCCTCAGTTGGGTCTGTGGCCCTGAGTGTCCCAGCCGCAGAGCTTTCCTGTGACTCACAGGGCACCTGTAGGGTTCAGTTCCCCTAGATGTTGGACTGAGGCCCAAGCTCCTCATGACCTGTCATCCCGAGCCTCTCTTGGTTTCTGTACTCACCATATGACAACTTGCTTCACTGGACCAAGAGTTTGGGTTTGTGGGGGCAGGTAGAGAGAGGTTGTTTTTTATACTGAGTCATGGAAGTGACGTGCTCTCAGGGTTGGTGTGTTCTCTGCCCCAGGAGAGAGGCATTGAGTGTAGCCCACACTCAAGGGCAGTGGGTATACAGTAAATGGGAGCTATCTCTGAGGTGTGGGTTCACAGCCTAGAGGGTGTTTGGGGCTGCCCCAGTGAGGAAGCTTGTGGTTGGATACCCCCCATTTTATCCACTCAGCCTCATTTTCCTGTCTGTCCTGGTTGGGCATCTTGATCCTATGACTGATCTAAGGGTTTAAAAAGAGGCATATTTTAAATAATCTGGCTCCTAAATACCATCTGAAAGTCAACTCCCTCGCCTGATCTTCAACTGAAGAAAAATGGACTGTTTTAGAATACTAAAGGACTTACTAAGGAAAGGTGGTAGAGAGTGTTTGGAAGGAGTTTGCAAATGTGATTCTGATCAGATGCAGTTTTGGGTTAATGGCCCAAATTCAGGGTCTAACCTGGAGTAAGGCAAGAGTCCTCTCCACTCTGTACAAGGTCCCAGGGAAACTTGGGTTGCACCTTCTTTTCTTGCCTGTCAGAGCTGAGCAACTTGACAGCCTGCCATGTCATTCATTCCGTGTCTGCACTTTGACTCACAGGATGCCTTTAATCCCAGTACTTGGGAGGTAGAGGCAGGTGGATCTCTGTGAGTTCAAGGCCAGCCTGGTCTACATAGTGAATTCCAGGACAGCTACAGGAAAACCCTGTCTCAAAAAGACCAAAAAAAAAAAAAAAAAAAAA